CCCTCTTCCCCTCTCTCTCCCCCCCCCCCCCCCCCCCTCTCTTCTCTTTCTGTCCCTCTTTCTCTCTCCCCCTTTAGGATACACCTCGTACAAACATGGCACCCACAATACTCACTTTGAAGGCGCCTTGTATGCGATCATTTGCCCCGTCACAGTGGGCTCCATTTTCACAGCCATTCTTACAGTTCTGTTAAAACAAAAAAAAGAACACTTAGCCGGAAGATGAAATGATAACACGATGAACAATATTAATGATTGTTGTATTTCGTGACCACGTCTTATCTGTCTACACAGAACATTAATGGAGGAGCAGGAGGAGGTGACCTCAGATAAATTCATATTTGCACAATACATTGTTAGATAAACACGGCCTTCACATGCCGATATAATGATGTGTTCCTCTGAAGTCACCTTCACATGCTGCAATACAGATAGTTTAATAATGAATGTCTCTAAACGGCAACTGCCTCCCCATACAATCGGAGTTCTCCTGTGATGCTCCCACACACCTGCCTTGTCTTTTCGTCGGTTTTAATCACCTTTTAAAAAAAAACAAAAAACTTTAGATTTCCTAGCACACTATCAAAGAAGACGTTTCTTGGCATGAGCTAATGATATAACTATGAAATGAAAACGACTGTACAAGCACACTGCACATAATCTTGGTGAGGTTTGTGTATTTCTTCCAGATCTGTGCAGAAACTTGGAGCTTCTTGTAATAAAGATAAGTCTTGTCTCCGCCCCTCATGTAGCTTTCTACAGGCAGCCTGTAGTGGGCAGAGCCTGATGGGCCCCTCCAACATCTCTGCTCTCTGCATAGGCTATGCGCAGCACAGTGATGATGTCACTGCTACGTGGAAATTTATTTGCAAAGTTAATTGGTGCACACATTTTTTATTTCCTCTGTGGCTATTGAGTAATATATTTAAAGGATTTAAATGAAAGTTTTTGCGCCCGGAGTTCAGCTTTAAAATGTACGCTTTACAGCACTGCTACATCACACTACCCACTACACTGTGGCTGTTTCCTGTCATCAGAGATTGCAGAGTTTATTGTTTTCAAACAGACAGATTCTGTCTAGTAAATTTGCCTTATACGATATCTGCTGTATATAGTATATTGTTCCCCTTATTATAAATATATACTGTATATATATATTGTTCTCTCGTATATGTTTCTATATATTTACAATTAGTGAATAAGCCAATGATAAGCAGATGTATACATGGGAAATAAGCGCAGTATTCTGAGCATTTAGAAGCTGAGATATTCACTGATTCCTAGTAAAAGTTTGAAGTCTTGCTGAACTCTGACTCCAGGGCAATGACACCCGTGTCACAGCATCCAATAATAGGGCTAAGGACACGGCTGTGTGACATTCAAAGGGTTCAGAGCCTGTAACAGTGATTTATGTCTGGGGTCACAGGCCCTACATGCAGATATTTCAGTCCAAGGTGGATTCTGAGAAGTTGAATCATCCAATGGTACCCTATATATCTCAGGGTATGAGTACTTTATATATCTCAGGGTATCAGTACATTATATATCTCAGGGTATGAGTACTTTATATATCTCAGGGTATCAGGACTTTTAGTACTTTATATATCTCAGGGTATCAGTACATTATATATCTCAGGGTATGAGTACTTTATATATCTCAGGGTATGAGTACTTTATATATCTCAGGGTATCAGGACTTTATATATCTCAGGGTATCAATACCTTATATATCTCAGGGTATCAGTACTTTATATATCTCAGTGTATCAGTACCTTATATATCTCAGGGTATAAGTACCTTATATATCTCAGGGTATCAGTACTTTATATATCTCAGTGTATCAGTACTTTATATATCTCAGTGTATCAGTACCTTATATATCTCAGGGTATAAGTACCTTATATATCTCAGGGTATCAGTACTTTATATATCTCAGTGTATCAGTACTTTATATATCTCAGTGTATCAGTACCTTATATATCTCAGGGTATAAGTACCTTATATATCTCAGGGTATCAGTACTTTATATATCTCAGTGTATCAGTACCTTATATATCTCAGGGTATCAGTATCTTATATATCTCAGGGTATCAGTACTTTATATATCTCAGGGTATCAGTACTTTATATATCTCAGGGTATCAGTACCTCATATATGTCAGGGTCTCAGTACCTTTTTAAAATTCCCGGAGTTCTTCTTTAATATTACATTAAGGAACAGCCCCAACTCCAACTCAAACTTATTTTTTCTAACGTTTTGGACAACGGAACTTCTTCAAGGAAAATCTATATACATCCTTCCTGCCTAGACGGGGTAAAGTAACGTCACCTGACATCACTGCAATGCCGCCATATTCCGGGAACGCTCAGGATCAATCATTCTCATATTTCAATCATTTAAACAACCTCTCTGTTGGACGTACCAGTTTAGACATCCGGTTGGGGCTCATTCCATCGACAAACCGCACTTATTGTATAGGTGACCTTGATGTATTGTCACGGCATTCTGGGGCTGTGTAGGTTACCAGTTCCTTGGATGGTAATGGAGGCATTATGAATGGGGATCCTTGTAATGATTAACTCCACGTGGACAATCCGCACATAGGTTACCAGGCCCTGTCACGGACCATTACACTAAACTCTTTTTCCGCTCTTGTGAAATTATTTTTAACCGAATTTTCTTTAATATCTGACCGGAGTCTTGTTACCATAAAATAATATGTGCAGAGCAAAACAAAGCATTCAACTTCGACCCAAGATTCCCGCAGAGTTTATTTCTCATCAATACTCCATCACGGCTGCAATAAAAAGTTTTATGGTGAAGATAATATCTGACCATAAATATTATTGCACTTGGATCTGCTGGAGATAAATATTCGTACACAACACTAATTTCCTAATAACGTCATTTCACTGTTTTAAAGTAGAAAAGAGCTAAAAAAAAAAAAAAATAAGCAACCGTCCAAGGAACATAAAGTGAGTCGGAAATCACAAGATTTTGGAGTTGTCACAGGAACAGGAAGAGAGGGGGAATCTCTGGAGCCATTTCTGGTGACAACTGTATAAGAGGGGAGATTTTCTGTCACTTCCTGTTGCATCTCTGGGACAGGAAGTGAAGGGAGATCTAAAAGGATGGGACGCAGACAGCAACAGATAATGGAACTCTTTCCTACTCTATCCAGGACTAAAAAAACAAAGCTTGGTCTTTACATGCACTTTAAGGCCACGTTTACAGTGTTGTGTGAACGCGAATCGCATTTGAGCGCGTTCGTGCAGGTTCAAATGCGTTCTTGCTACTGTTGCCGCACATCAGCCCATTCATGTCAATAGGCTGCCGCACGCGCAACAAATGCGGCAAACATGAGAAGACACCGGCACTTTAAATTTGTTGATGAGTACGTCTTTTATTCACGCATGTGCATAAGATCCCATACTAGTCATTTCAGCTGAGAACTTCCCCATTTTTGGACCGCACGTTTTGTGCGCATTTGATGCGCAGGCAAAAACGCACATTTTACCATCTGCGTTTGGGGTGCCATTAACAAGTAATTGCAAGCACATTGCATGTTTTTAACAGGCAGAGCCGTAGCTAGCTCTTTTTGCGCCCGAGGCAAGAACAGAAAATTGTGCTCCCAACAGACTTGTGCGATATGTGATGTCATGCGCATCACGCATATAGCGTGATATATGGAGGAGGAGGAGGTTAAAAAAATTGGGGGGTGGGGGGAGATGGAGAAGAGAACTACTGGAATAGGGAGCTGGGGTGTGGAGGGAGTCATAGTGGTTGGGGGTCATCCATGGATCAGGGGGGTTACAGGAAAGAAGCAGGTATGTCAAAACTGCGACACTCCACACCAACAATGCATCCTCATCTGACACCTGTACACTTTCACGTTGGATTTGGAGTAAAGATTTGATGACTTGGTATGAAAAGGAACTCCTCAGATTCACTTCCCATTCACTCTTCAGTACATCAGTGAATATTAGGTGTATAGAATCCATCTACAGGCATTAGAGAATCTCTTGTTACAATGAATACAGAACTACCAATTGGAGGATACAGATCAGACACAGCTGGGCCAGAGTGTGGCCCCCCAGGGCCCCTAACAATCATCCTGTTCTGGAATTACATGGCACCGACTTTGGGGATGATGGAGTGGATGGAAGGAGGATGCAGATACAGACTAGACCAGGGGTGCCCATTAGGTAGATCGTGATCTACCAGTAGCTCCGCTCCCAAAGCTGATGCTGGTAGATCACGGAGGGTGTGACTGGCGGCCCCTTTATTTCATTTTGGTATATTTATTTAGCTGTGCACAGCCTATTGCACTGCACTGTTTGCAAAATACAGCAAGGTGAGCCAAGAGGGAGAGCGGGGAGACAGCCAGGAGAGAGAGCAAGGAGAGACAGCCAGGGGAGAGAGAGAGGAGAGACAGCCAGGAAAAGAGGGAGAGGAGAGATAGCCAGGGGAGAGAGCAAGAAGAGACAGCCAGCAGAGAGAGCAAGGAGAGATAGCCAGGGGAGAGACCAAGAAGAGACAGCCAGCAGAGAGAGCAAGGAGAGACAGCAAGGGGAGAGAGCAAGGAGAGACAGCCAGGAAAGAGGAGAGACAGCCATAAATTACATATGACCTCCACAGGGGACAATGCTGGATCTATAGCAGTGTATACAGATACATGTATATATACAGCCTGCAGCACCCTATATGATGAGTCTTATATACAATCTGACCTCTATAGGGGACAATGTTGGATCTATAGCGGAGTATACAGATATGTCTATATACAAAGCCTGTATGATGATGATTAAATGACATATGACCTCCATAGGGGACAATGCTGGATCTAGAGCAGAGTATACGGATACATCTATATGTACACAGATACATGTATATATATATACAGTAGGGTTGCCACCTGTCCAGGATTCACCCGGACAGTTCGGGTTTTAAATGCTGTGTCCGGGTTTCATGGCAACAGAAACCCGGACACAAAATGTCAGGCAGATAGGGGCAACCAAAATTAAGATAGGGGCTACTGGCCCCCCACTGAAAATAGTCTAAACTGTGATATTTACATATGAATGGGTGGCGCTATTTACATATGAATAAGCCACAACTTTTTCTCCCAAAAAAATGTCCGCACATCGCTAGAGTGTTCGGGTTTCGCTTGAAGAAAAGGCGGCAACC